AGTTTCCAGCCAAAGCGCACTCTCCTTTAAAAAATCATATGTACGAATGTCGGGCAAGAACGCAGTTGAAAATTTTCCAAGTTAGATACTCGAGTCTGAGAATTCAGAAATTTTCATTAAAATTGCTGTAGATTCTCATTTTTCTTGCTATTTAAACGAGAGTCGATAAACTGCAAATGAACAATTTTAGCCTAAAATGCGCATTCTTTAAAAAAATGGTAATTACAGATCTGGGCCAAGTACGAACTTGAAAGTTTCACAGGATATACAAAACAGTTGAATTCCGGAATTGAGAAATTTTCATTGAAATCGCACTGGATCCTAATTTTTTCCTGTTGTTTAAGCACAAATCCAAAAGTGACCGTTTCAAGCTAAAGAGCACTGTCCTTTAAAAAATCATGTGCGAATTTCGAGCAAGAACGCAGTTGAAAATGTTGCAAGATTTATTAGTCACTCGAGTCTGAAAATTGAGAAATTTTCATTAAAATCGCAATAGATTCTGATTTTTCGTACCATTTGAACGCGAGTCTTTAGTCTACAAATTAACAATTTCAGCTTAAAACGCGCTTTCTTTAAAAAATTGGTAACTACAGATCTGGGGCAAGTACAAACTTGAAATTTTCACAGGATATTCACGACAGTTGAATCTCGGAATGGGGAAATTTTCATTGAAATCCCTCTGGATTCTAATTTTTTCCTGTTGTTTAAGCGCGAGTCTAAAAATGACCGGTTGTAGCCATATCATTCCACTAATGTCGGGCAAGAAAACGAAAAAACATGGGAAACCTTTCGCTATTTACAATAATACCTTAAACTAGTTGTTCACTACATAGAAGGAATATCGAAAGATAGATCGGTTAGAATTTCCGAAGGCCTACTGGTAAACAGGCTTCGAGAAACTCACAGGAAAATCACATTGCAAATGGCAGGTCTTCAAAGCCGTATCCCAACTTGCATGAATTTTCCCGCTAAGGCAAATTGAATCATCCAGTAAAGTATGATATTGAGGCAAATCCCTCAAATAAAAGCTTTTGTAACTAATATACTCGCCTCAACCATACAGAACTCATCTACTTACTCTACTTGCAGCTGCGGTTTTCCTAGCATCTTTTACCTGATCTACTCTGAGCTCCTCAGCGCTGTCGCAAACAAGTAGCTGACGTAGCCGATTCTGTAGCAGATCAGTGGAATTGTGGGTGGCATGATGAGGGGTTGGCAGCGTGCTCATTTGAGTGGGCCGTCGTTGCGTTAAGGGTGGCAACGATCGCGATGGGGATACAGCCATATCTGAAAAATCCCTAATAACTTCTTGTTTGCAATCAACTACCAAGTAGTTACATTGCGGAAAGTTGACTGTCTTGCTGTAGCTGCAGGTCCCAGTAACATTAACACTCTTGCTCCTGTTGTATGTGCCGTAGCCCCCCACGTTCGACTGGGGTCTAGATGGGAGCTGCTGCGTGTTGTCCCTCACAATCTCCGATTTAACATAGAAGGGCTTACTCTCAGCCAGCAGTTCCACGGCTGACTTGCGCTTCGCCCTCATCGACTGCGACTTGGTGATACTGGGGTACATCATTGTGGCCATCTCAAACGAAATGTGCCTCTGGCAGTGATGAGTACTGAGCAGTTAACTGGGGTTCACATGGTTAAATCACTGCAGCCCCGGGGCTGCAAAAAGCGCACGAATCGGGACAAGTCACTTTCACAACCGATTGACACAAGCACTGGGTTTCAGGGGGTGGCTACTACATATTTCGATGCAGGAAGTGGAGGCGACGTCCAACTATCAGCACATGGCAAGTAAATGCATTGAAATCTGCAATTATATAAATAATTTGGAAAATTTTGACAAAATTGTTGCAATTTTCACAGCTGACTGCCTGGTGGCTGGTGACATGCGTGCAACAGCTTTCCATCCGCCCTTAGTTCGCATCAATTGGCAACGCCGTGAGGGCCGATTATTACAAAAAAATTATTATGTATCTGAATTTATGCGAGTATTTTCAATTATTCGAGAATTGTTATTTTTGCCTTGATTTACCTCAAAGAACACTTTAAATTAAGCAGTGAAGAAAAGAATGAAAAAACCCTTTTACACTCGAAACAGTTGGAAGATAATAAAACAACTACAAATTAAAAAACATAACTTCTATGATAAAAACAAAACAGTCTGCCTGCTGTTAACCTAAAAAAAA